ATAGCCATTCAACAGCGCCGCAGGCGTTTGGGAGATCTTGTCTGGAAGAAAGGAGTTCATCATACAGTTGTAAAACCTTCGTTTCAGAATCTCGTCGTTTAAATCGCACAGTTTGCTTTGATCCATGTTTCCCGAGACAGTTCAAGATCTGAATCGTGCAACCACATGCAGATGAATTCGAAAGTCGGTTAGAGAGCACTTGAAAACAAATTTTGGAACCGACGTTGTTTACGAAGCTAAAATAAGTAATCGTTGCGGGGGAGTTTGAACAAGGAAGTTTCTTTTGATATTTTCCCGTCTTTACAAAGGCTTGATCGAAGATAGGCGAGCGCCTCAAGAAAATTGCTTTTCCCCTTAGCGAAACGTGGCAGAAATTCACTCCTGGAAAGTACAAAGATAAAATAAATCGAATGTTAAAAATGCAAATATTGCAAACGAAAGGATAACACAGATTACAAAACAAAAGTTTCGTTGACACAAGCCAATAAAATACCTCAGAAACTGCCAAAATCATGTCAAAAATGACTTAGCCACACGGGATTTGTTTGAACTACATGACAACACGCAACATTTGAATCCGAAACGCTAACATCGGTCGGTCATTAATGCAAATTTTAAATTCGCAAGAAGGAATTAAAGTTTCTCTGGTTTACTATTATGACCAGCATGCCAGCTGTTGATTTTAAGGCGTCCTTTTGTTTTCTCACAAAAGGATTTTCTTTACAACCCAGATTACAGAGATCATTTGCCTTAGGGACGCTAAACGAAGTATCAATGGGAAAGCGCTCTGATTGGTTCGCAGTAAGTGAGGTACAATTCACTTTTTGTACTTGCACAGTGAAACAAATTAAGCGACCGGCTTAAGAATAATTTGGGAAAAATGAGTTCTTTAAATATCGGTTCGTTTCTCGGACCTTGCTCGTAAATACAAGAAATTAACCTGCGCACGAGAAATAACTGCAACTACATCCTAAAGTAATTTGTCAACTGAGTAATTAAAAATGCGCTAATGCTTCTTTTACTGCCAATCAAGACTTATAATCTGCAACAATAGTGAGCGTCTAAATCTAATCAAACCAGACAGGAGGTCGTTACCTCTCTCAAAAAGAAAATTGGATAAGAATTATTAGGCGATATTAAAATTCTTCAGCAGAGCTCTTGCTTCCGGCGAGTTAATCTCTTGTTTATTGCACACTACCAAGGTTCTACAAGGGTTGTCAATCCAGCATGATTCAAGTCAATTTTAGTCCATTCACCCATTCTACTCAAGTCCGTTTTGCGGCTCGTTATGGTTTTATGTTACACTCGATACGCTGACAGTGTACTTTGTCTAAAGCTGCCAAACTTGCGAACGTGCTTTAAGTATGTTCTTGTTAAGAACTAAATCCTCTTCTCTAACTGAGAGGAAGCTTGCACAACAAACAAAAAGTTCATCATACAGAAAATAATTTTAACAATAATCTAAGTCTTTAATCCGTGTTTTCGTAGTAATTGCGTTTCGATCAAATTCAGTGCGCGTACGATCGATGACAAAATATTTACTCGTCGCTCCTTTAGCGAATACCAAAATCGCGAAATATAGATGTTTATTTACCAGCAGGTTTGTTAAAGAGTACTTACCTACGGTTGTTAAATCTTGTTAAAAATTGTTCGATAACTCTTTACTGAATAGTTGAAAATAGGCTGATTGAATTCAATCCACTTCCTTTTCTGGCGTCTTGAAGAGACAACACAAAATTGGAATTCCACAAACAACACTTTATGTTCTGAACTGTGCGGCTCGAGTAAAAGCTTCAGGTGGTGGAAGACGATGCTTTCATTTTACCCAATATATTTGGCTTAAAAGGCAGAAGGGCTAGTGAAATCATTTGATGTAGTTAAGAAATTAAGCACCTGAAACTCGCGATGTCACGCCCAGCTGTGATTATGAAACACGCTTTAAACCTGTGAAAAGGTGCTAACTTAATACACTTCCCAGTGCTTAAACATGTTCGGTTGATTTCGCAATTCTTAGACTCAGATACAACTAAACGTTCTTATTAGTGAGCTTACTTCACTTCCTACAAGAAGAGAAGATTACATAATTAGAGCCAAAAAAAAGAAAAAAACTTAATGTCAACCGAGGAAAATTGGCACATCAGGTACTGATGAAATCGAGAACGGTGTGTTCAAAAGCCGATATCCTTGCAAGAATGGCGCTATTGTTAAATTATCCACGAGATTTCCTTGGCAATGAAATTGAAGCGATCATTGAGTCCTAGCTACTCAAAAATACTCTCCGGGCCTCTCTTGATGATACAAGAGAACAGAGCGAAACGTTCAATGAAGTATGCTTTTCCGACATATTTTTTCCGGGAAAGTTTTCGAGTCTTTCCCGCGAAGCTGATATAATACGCCTCATGTTTATTATTAATCGGCTTAAATAAGACAACAATGAAAAGGTTGGTTCTAATCTGTAAATGTCCTTACTGTAATAGAAGAGAAAGCTTTTGCTCGTAAACTCAATTGCAGTTCTCCCAACGCGGTATTGAACCATTACGATGTTTGTTTGTGATGTTTGAGTTTTGGAGTGCAAATCCTAGCAAGTTAAATTCCACCATTGCTCCTCGTCAAGGTGTTTATCACGTGTTTGTGAACTTAAGTATTCTTTGGTGCAATTAAATCACGACTTACTGAAAATCACGCCGCGATATTTCTATAATGCACTTACCAGGCCCTTAGGCGTACTTCAAATCAAGTTCGCAACTGGATTTGCTCTGAATTGTTTGACTTGACGGCAGACTTCGCCAGACAACCAACGCTTCAAGAGAGTCACTCACTCAGGCGCTCGACCAGCGTGCCTTTCTGTATCATCAATGCTTAGTCGTCGTGATTTCGATTAACAGGCGACCGAATATCAGCTCTCTTCGACAAACAATGGCTAAGCTGCCCTTTTATTTTTTCTGCACGTGTGTTTCGGTACGTTCTTGTTTTTCAAACGAGTAGCTTGAAACGCTTTTGTTATAGAAGTCTGTGCCTATGACGTATTGTTTGTAGAGGTTTGTAAACTTGTCTTAAGCTTAGTAATCCTTTTATTCAATCGAGACATGAATCACATTGCGTCATAGCAACTGTGAAAAAAAGCCCTATTAATTTAGGAATGGGCGATGTGATTACTGTGTGTCGTTCGTTGTTGCAACTTCAGTTAATACTTCTTGAACAATAGTTTTGGTTGGTAATTTAGTTCCAGTTGTTCTGAAATTTCTCTTCACATTCCTGGCCCGTATTGGTTACATTAAGCACTTCTCTGTACAAATCTCTATGTTTCCTTTATTTTTAGCATCTATTCTGATTTAAAACTTCCTCTAACGCCCTGTTGGTCTAAGTCTGTTATAGTAAAACTGGTAAAACTATTGTCTTGTTACTTCTGAACACACAACGACGTGAGGCGTCGGTTTTGAAATATACCGAATTTCTTTTCGCTTCTTGAACAGTAACGAGTAGTTGGTGGTGATATTAACGTTTAATTGAGCTTTTTTAACTTCCTCTCACGCTGAGCCTGCTAATAAACTGTCTTACTTCCGTAAAATTGATGGAAATCTGACAACAGCGCCCCTGAGTTACTACGTGACCATTTGCTTCATGCAAATGTTTCAATGTTTTTTATTTGTAATACCCCGTAATCCTCTTTATCCTTGATAGCCTTTTCGTTTATTTATAGGCTCTTTCTCGTTAATTTATCATGCTAATCAAACTTGAGTTACTGGTTTCTAACGGATTTATTATTAAAATTAGAATTTCTGCCTCGCAATCAAAAGGAAGAGAGCTGGGAAGACATAGTTGAATAACGTTACGCATGCGCTAGGCTTTGGCGCGGAAATCGGATCTTTAGTCGTTTGTATGGTTGATTTTCTGTTGATTCGAGGCGTTGTTTGTGTGGCCGCTTTTCTTTTACAGAGAAACCTAGAAAAACTTCGTACACCCCCTAAATATTTTCGAAAATTAGTTTTCTCCTTAAAAACACTGGTGACAGGGACATGCCTTCGACGACAACAAAATGGCTCAGTTTCAAATGCCAGCCCCCTTTTCCCCGCGGATTTCGCTAAATTTTAAACCTCGCACGCCTGAGCCCACGTTGTAGACCGCATACTTGTGACGTAGCGTTTCGTTTTTAATCTCTGCCAGTTAGGAAAATATCCTGGAAATTACCGTCTTGACAGAGGTTCACGCCGTTTCTGTGATAAGCCTCATGTCGAGAACTTGGATTGTCACTTAAGGGAACCGCCGTGAAGTTTCTGTTGAAGTCAACACAGATCATATTTGCCATAAAGCCATACTTACACTGACGACTTTCCCCCTAATAATTACGAAAAATTTGCTTGCTGTACACATTAGCAAAGGTGACAATGTCTCAAAGGAAAGTGTAAGCTCTATCTAATCCAAAGATCAAACGTCAGGCTTGCGCAAGGGGATCAATTTTGGCGCCGCTTATAATTAGTATGATAATTTCCAAGTGAATTAACATGCAGTGCAAAAAGGGGTAATTTTTTAAGGAAACTATGGTGCTGCGTTGGTGGAGGGGGGGCACAAGATAATTTGGTGTTATCAACTGAGTTGATAATGTGAACTGGCCAACATAACTTGAGATTAGAAAGCTTACGTTTCGATCTTTAGCCCTTCGTCAGAGCGTTAGCCCTCCGCCCTTTCGCTCTAAGATTTCTTTGTAGATAGAATAAAAGTTCATTTTCTTAACCGACGTTACCCACGGCGTCGCCATCGTCGTTTCCTAAACTCCCTGTTGTTTATACAGGTCCCCCATTAAACCAGCTTTAAGCCGAACTGGGCCAGACTCTCTAATTCATTTATCGCAAATACAAAATACTTACACGCCGCCTTCTGCTAGCTTTTTTTCCTTTTCCCTTTTATAATTATAGAAATTTTGGGAAAAATTGGTAATAAAACTATAATCCACGCTGTGGAATAGCGAATGAAAAATTTTATTTTAAGAATAATTACACGTTTCCCATAGCTTTAGGTTTCTTGAAACGCCCGTGAAACTTAGCTAGAATGGTTTATGAAGAGAAAATAGTACTCGACTTAAAGAAGAGTAAACTAAAATAATTATGCAAGACGCACTTATCAGTTGTAAGGGCTTCTTTATCATGAAATGTTGGTAACTGGGATTTCAACTAACTTACAGTTTCATCTATTGCCACATTTTAAATATTTCGGTTTCTTATGTAATTCGCTTGTCTGGTAAGGCTCTATGGATTTCTCCGGAAATTTCAAGAGTTGTCGATTCACATAGCCAATGCTTAGCTAGAAAAGAGAGTTCGAGATTTACTTGAGAGGGAAAAGTGAAGCTTGACACCTAGCCCTGGTGAAAGCTAAAATAAATGATTCTATTGATCTATCTCAGTAAAAAATCGACCAGTTATGGAGATATTATTACTTTTTCTCCCTAGCTAAAACGAGAGGTCTGTTTAAGATGCAGAACCGCGCAACACTGTCTTATTGTTGTTTCTTAAACTTGAATGTTCCGCAAATTTTTTAGAAGTCAAATTATATTTCAAGGAATTCTATCACTTTTCAATTTCAACGCCGACGTGCATGCTAAATCACACGTGCTGTAAATGTCACAGATGAATTACAACTTCCGATAAGAAAGGAATAATTGTGTGATATTTCTCTTTTCTTTACACGCGACCACTACGTTTCGACGATTTTGGTTGAGCGATCGTAAAGTCTTGACCAACCCAAGTGCCAGAAGATTGCAGAGAAATTCTTTCGGTGTAACTTGATCCATCTTCAGTTTCAAAAGACCCTCCAAGCGATACGAACCCTGCGCCGCGGACTTTGGCGGACCTTTCTGGTATCTCCACTTGTCGCGCGCGTTCGTCGAAACAGTGCGCGCGCAATTTATTCCAATGAGATCTGATAAGGCAAGCAACAGCAACTACCAGAATCACACTAAATATTACAACCAAAGCGATAAGCGGACCGCTAAGGGCATTTTCTTTCTCCTTTGGAGGTTTTTCACAAGGCAACGAAGTGGACATACACTTTCCTTTGCAGCAGTATTCTTCGAGGCTTCCCGGCGAGCCGCAGTGTTCTTCTCGGGAACACGATATGTTGCAAGATCGCCGACAGTAACCGCTACAACAGTAGATGTAGTCCCCGAGGCAATCTCGATGGCTCGCGCATTTTCGACTCTCGGAAACTCCCAGAAACCCCCCCAAAAAAACGATCGAAAACACAAAGACCGTAATTCTGGGCATTCTGGAGATAGTTTGTGGCAATCTGCTATTCCATGGTGGCTTGTGCACTCGAATCCAAAACACATGAAAATAACCCATAGCTGATCTTAGGGGCTTTCCGCCGTGCTTTGTGCTAAGAGGAATTCCAGTTTTGACCAAACAGGATTTTCAGCACGTAGGTTTTATATTTGAAGAACTATATCGAAGTCACGTATGAAATTTCTCTCAGCTAAATATGACAAATTGCTGAATTCCTTCATTCAATGATTACGCTGGAATTCGTGGGAATCTTCATCTGTGATTCTCATACAAGCAACGCTACTTTCATACAGCTTCGCAGCGACTTGACTCGATACAGCTGTGTGAGATAGTTTTCACAGTTTCCATATTTAAAGCCCAAATTTCACGGGCGAATATCGCTCCAGGCTACCGAACCGGAAAAACAAATCAAGCACTTACCTCTGAATTATAGATGGTCTGATTTGAATAAGAATAGGAAAGGAAACTTCACGTTAAATCTCTCCTATCACTCTAGTCACTTTAATACGTGTCTAGTGTTGTGTTTGTACAGTCTTCACATATATCAATTTCCTAACTTTTCATAAGCACATGTAAAAATTTCTAAATGACCACTCAAAGATTGATTTCGATGAAAGTCTTCGTTTAACAAGGCAATAAAATATTAATTTGTTGTTACTCAATGTTCAATAATTTTTTTTCAAATACAAGGTTTGAATACACCTTTATGCACTTTTTGGCTTTCAAAACATAAAAACATACCTCCCAGTTTTGCTAAACTGATTCATCTACTGGGAAGTTTTTCCTTTCAGCTGTTAAAACAAGATACCACGGTCCGCGAGCACCGGGTAACTATCAATTTGATACTGCCTTTGGCGGACTTATCAGCAAGTACAACTGTATTTTATCAGACACTTTGGACGTTTTGATTGTGGCCGCCATAACTTCTAGAATCCATTGGAAAGTTTGTCATTCACTAAAAGCGAGTCCATTTCGCTTTTAAGTGAATGGATAAGGCTTTTACTTCGGCAGAAGAAATTTTTAGCATTTTTATCTGCTCTGGTCACTTTTCATGACAGCAATTTCCTTCGAGCCATTACAGGTAATCATACCAAGCTTATGAGAAACTTCAACTTGTTCGCCGCGCTATTTTTGCTACCGCGTGGCAGCTTGAAATGAATTAAGATTCTACAATTTCTTCTTTGTTGACAGATGAATTTGATTTGTGGCTGAAAATGTATAAAAATATTGACAGATACTTCCATTCAAAGTGAATTAAATATTTGTTTTACTTTTCTTCGTTAGTTTATTGGTCTTAGTTTCATTTCGCTTTCGACAAAAAAGTACAAATTACCTGTTTGTAAAATTTTGCTTAGAGGCAAGTGGAGCCAGTCAAGTAATAATTAAACATGTTTGTCACGTTCGATGCAACTTTTCATGCAAAAAGCACTTTTAAATCAGTCTTGATTATCTTCATCGGAAGATCAATACTATTGTTGACGTGAAAATCAAATCGACCGCTTTACTGCATGGCAATTTTGTACTCAGCTGACAATTCCAAGGGCGTCCTTGTAAAATGAAAATCAAATCAATTTATCGGGGTATAAACGGAATTTTGTTATGGTTTTCCTTTTACCATTCGAATAAAACCTTTTCTTGAGAGCTCAATCCTACGTTGTGAAAATAGTGATTTTAAAAGTGTTATACCGGTAGTTCTGGCCATAATTACCGCAAGAATATTTCTCCCTGCTGGTACCTAATCAAGGCTGAAATCAGAGCCATGAATATTGCACGGGCTTTCAAATCCTTCATATCATTATTTTTTTCATAAGTTTTTTTCTTTAGTTATTTTTAAATAAAAGGTAGTAGTAAAACCGTGGCGGTAACTGATCATGAAATAATTTGCTGTATTTCACTTTTTCACGATTCTTGCGTTTACAAAAAAGAGGAAAATTAAAGAAGTATTTGTGTGATAGAATAACATCGCTGTTGTAGATATTATGGGCATAAACTTTCTCCCGTAGCCCTTTTCCTCTTGGTGATAGGATGCACAAGAAATCAGAGTGTATTGTTGACATCTATTAATAGACTTCTGTGACATTGTTTTCGATTATATTTACAATGGCCTCTGAAGCTAATTGAATCGATTCGACCCTAGAGAATTCTTCTCTGCAATTGTTGTGTTTTTGAAAAAAAAGATTGCTTAATTGATCATCCATTTGATTGTAAAACTTAGACAAACTAATCTATGTCTGCAAAACCGAAAAATTAGACCCATCCGGCCTTCGATTAAGTATTGTCTCGAACAGTTTCACGCTGACAAAAGTGGTTCCAGTTTTTTTTCTTTTTTTTCAATCAGACAATGAGCTCACATTACTTCAACGAGTATGCGACGTATTGTTGACAATATCTCATCAGAATTGTTGGAGTACTCTGTTTAAAATATTGAAAAACTAACGAAATTCTGAAAGATTTGATTCTTGTTTGCTAAACGATGTTACTTATTAGACAGCTTTTCTCAACAGCAGTTTTTTTCAGTCGATGTTTCCTAAAAAACTCCATCTTCAAAGTTTGATTGAATGTGATCATTTCTTTCGCTACCCTCTTGAAATTAAACGCAAGTCTTTGACTTCTATTTCACAGATGCGTGTTCCCTGACAAGAAATACTCAACAGAAATCTCGATTTTTCTTGCGTTTTTGTCGAAAAAGAAGATTGATTTGGAAAGATTGTAGACCACGAATAGTACCTGCTTTTCGGCGAAGGCCAACACGCGAGTGAAAAAGAAAATAGTGAAAAAAAAAAGGATGTTTGCGCGCCACGAGGAACTCTGGGAGCAAAGTGCAATATAGCCAATCTTTTGTTTCACTGATCTTTCTTGTTTCGCGCAACGGACTTCGTCGAAAAGGTTGGACAGCTGGGAGTCTACAAAGGTTTTATTGGTGTACTGTATTTAGGAGCAATACAATTTTAAACTATGACAAGTGCTTCAATCCTTTCATTTTTTGTTGGACAATGCGAAGGATTTTTTCAATTTTAGAGGAAGAAAGAATCAAGCGCATCACAAATGGAGGGTGCAAAATTATGATGATGCCACCCAACCCTTTTACGAAGAGTTGTTTTTGTGTTTTTATTCTTGGATTTGCCTGACGCCAAAATAAATCCAAGATGGCGGCTGAAACGTCGTATGCCAACGAAATTTAGCGAGAAAATGCTCTTCTGCCTTCCGACTAAAGGCTGGAACATAATCTTAGATCTAATTAATGAAATTAATTTGACTAAAGGATAAAACTGTTCGTGAAAAATGTGATTTGATGAACAGATTAAAGGCGAACAATGTTTTACAACTGCAAGATAGGGTCACGCCAAGAAAAACATTCAGGAGAAAGTATATACGTGACTAGCACACGTCACAGAACTGTTATACTTCAGATTTTGAAACGCGATGTATGTTTTGTAACGCATAAAACGAAAAGAATGTGCACGTACAATTGAGCAAAAATGTTTGTCTTTTGAAATTTCTCACGTCCAAAGATTTTTACGTGAAAATTAGACTCAGAGAACTTTTGACGTGATATTCAAGTGAACCGTTCTAAATCCGATCGATAGTAATTCTGTTTCGACAGATTTCAGATCAAAACAGAGATAGACTCAAATCAAATTATGCTGAAACTTATCGCATTCATTTCATTTTTTGTTACGCATGTTGCTAAAATGAACAAGAGTTTGACTGATTACCTTATTTGAACAGCAACCTTAATCGTAACGGTCGCCAGTGAGATACAATAGTGTACAATGTCATGACACCAAACAGGACCTCAAAAGTGTTGTTTTGAATCACTTTTTGCAACTGGAAATCAAAAGTAACTTCAAATAAAGGAAACATCTGAATAAAATTTTCGTCCCCGATGTAAGAAATTCTAAAGAGAACTGAACAAGGATAGTTAAGAATAGACGACAGAAAAACACACCGGCTAGGCCCGGCCTGTATTGCAAATTTTCGAGCGTCATCGAACAGTTTCGGCTCCTTTGGCAAGAGCCCGTAGCTTCTTGATGGCCACAAGCATTTTCACTCTTACTTATCAACTCCTAAGCTTTCTATCAAATCAATAGTCGAGCGACAGTAAACTCGGTTAAATTTTGATATTTGCATTCACCATCTTTAGTTGTATACTTATGCAAGCAGAATCGGCTTTTACCGAGATCACTTCAAAAAGTTGTGACAAGAAACTGCTACAATCAGTTATTGCACATCCTGTGTTGATCAGTGATTATTTAGTACCGAAGCTTCAGGAAACGATGCAAGTTTTTTTTTTCGATATGTCATTAGCTTAAGAACTTCAGAACTCTTTAAAAAGTTTCAAACTGCCCTGTTGTTGAATTTCCACCGATGCTGAGGGCAATTTAGAAACCTAACTGAGATAAACAGTGGATCTGCGCAGTCCTTCGCCAACAGCGCTTGAGGCGCATTACCCCCAAGAAGTTAGTCAATCTTCGAGACATGAATGACCTTTAACTCAATAAATGTTACTCTCCTTGGGTTTTCAACAATAAGTTCCTTCCTCTGCCAGGATATGTTTACACAACTTACCTCAAATGTACTGCTTCTTCGTAAGCGCGATGTCTTCGAGAGTTTGTCAAGGATTTGTTGAGGACTTCAACCACAAAACCTTAGAGGATAACCATAATCACTTATCAGCTGCATGATGAAATATCTTATGTCGAGTAATGTTTTGATGTCCCACCAGGAAAAAATGTCTCGTCAACACATCCCGGCCTGAATTGATTTATAAACTGAAGCTATCTCGTTTTAGCCGCGCGGAATTTCACAAGGTACAAAGTTTGTCAGCTTAATTATGAGGATGGTAATTAAGAATGCAGCTTAGAATAAATCATTTCATTAATTGGAAAAAGACGGTTAGAAAATGAACAAAAATGGGCAAAGCTCACAAAACAAATTGTATTAAAAACGTCTGGTTTTCGCATTAACCTCTGACGAGAGTGAAAAATGCTGGTGTTTTGATGAAGAGTTTAAAACCACAAAGCACAAAGCTATCCGGGATTATTGTTTATAAGTTAAATTTTCGACGCTGCGGATACCTGAGCTTCAGATTTTATACCAACCATGGTTTACGATTCGCCTTTAAATTCACAGAAGGTTTTAAGACCTTTACTGACCTGCAATGATGCAGTTCCTCGTTACACCTGAGCTGAGAACAGAAACACTGCAAGGAATTTCTAAAGAATTTGAGAGTGCTCCTGCCAAAGTTATAGTTTTTGTGTACGTCAGTCTTCTTTACTTCAATGTCTGTTCTACTGTTTAATTTGTTTATTTTAATTGTTTGATAAGTAAACTAAAACGATATATCTTCAAGATTGTACCATGTTATTTCTAAGACTTTTAAAG